GTAGTCTCGCGTCAAATATATCAAAGAAGAAAGAAGGAATGTTTTCTATTAAAACATCATTAATCGACCAGCTACACAATGTTTTTTGTCCGTAACGAATTGAGAACGAGAAGGCGTTTTAGATTTTGTACTCCATGTGGTTATTACTGCTTTAATTTCCATTTTTTCTCTTTTTTTCTTCACTTGAAAAACCGAGCTCGGTAAGTCACCGAGCTCGATAGGTCACCGAGCTCGATAAGTCATCGAGCTCGATAACCATTTTTACTTTGTCCCCCGGCAAAAGTGAGAGGCCTTGAGCTCGATATCGACAAATCAAGGACGGTTGACATATCGAGCTCAATAAACTCGTATCGAGCTCGGTTGCCCAGAAAACTAAACTGATCCTAATTGGGTTATGAAATCTCGTGGTAGTGATGCTTATCGAGCTCGATAACATTCTACTTTTCGCCCTGGAAAAGTGGGAGTCCTCGAGGATTTGAGCTCAGTATAGACATATCGAGTACGGTTTCTCAAGTTCCATATGTTCATCAACGCCAGTTGATATATCGGATCAGTTTAGTTTTCTGGGCAACCGAGCTCGATACAAGTTTATCGAGCTCGATATGTCAACCGGCCTCGATTTGTCGATACCGAGCTCGAGGCCTCTCACCTTTCCGGGGGGAAAAAGTGGAAATGGTTATCGAGCTCGATGACTTATCGAGCTCGATGACTTATCGAGCTCGGTGACCTATCGAGCTCGGTGACTTATCGAGCTCGGTTTTTCAAGAGAAGAAAGAAAGAGAAAAAATGGAAATTAAAGCAATAATAACCACATGGAGTAAAAAATCTAAAACCCCTTCTCATTCTCAATTCGTTACGGACAAAAAACATTGTGTGGCTGGTCGATTAATGTTGTTTTTGGCGGAGAGTCTTTTAAAAAAATATTTTGTATTTTAAAAAAAATATTGACGAAAGGCATTATAACGTAGCGCGCGTGCTTGCCCTATATAAGTCCTATTAAATCTTTATTTATGCACGCCCGTGCGTAAATAAAGATTTTTAATCATGATGACGTGTTTAGCTGTGTTTTTCGTCTCTTTTTCCTGAGTACAAAATACCCAAATTCGACTGCAATGATGAAAAACGTTCTAGCGTTTTTGGAATTTAGCTTCTCCACTCAAACCAACAGCCAAAGTGGTGAAGATGTTTCGCAAATAATTAGAGCCTGAATCTTTGAAAAGTCTGCCGTAAAGATTCCCTGCTATCATAGGTCTCTCACGACGAGGCAAAAATGAGAGAAAGGGGAGAGACTCCCCTTTCTCTCATTTTTGCCTCGTCGTGAGAGACCTCTGATAGCAGGGAATCGTAAAGATTGACATTCAGCTGGAAAAAGACCACAAATTGGTCTGTGTCGGGAAATATCCAATTTGTGTAAAGTGTCCTCGGTTTTTTAACGTTTGTTTATCCTTTACAAAACAAGTTAATTATAAAGTAAGCTCACAAGCGAAAAGTTATGGACTTTTGTTATCTCTGAACAATCCGACTGAAGCAGGAAAATTACTCTTGCAATAACAAGACAAATTACACCGCAAGAAGATCGACATAAATTTATAACTCACAAAAACAACTGCTGCCAGGTCTTCTCAAGAAGTCGTAGTGAACAGACATTGTTCGTAAATGAATATAAAGCAGGAAGACATCATCTTCGGGTTTTTCATGGCCAGATTAGAAAACCGGAGTTGTAACGGCAAACCTCTTTTTTGGAAAAGGTATATTTTTCTGGATATGAACACTTTCTGTTTTACTGAGGGATACCACAATATGCCGCTCTGAAGAGCTGCCTCCAAGCTTATCATAGACGCATCCGCTCTGTGGACCAAAGAATTAAACCACGGTGAAATCCAGGATGCTGTTTTTCCTAATTGGAGTGAAAAAAAAAATTCCTGCAGGAGATAATCTCCCCCCCCTCCTTCCCGCCAAACTTTTTGCACTGCAAGGATGTAGAGTTCACAACACAATTAATTGAAAGAGGCCTAAGAGTAGCCAATCTCTAGCAAAGACTTCCCGTTGAAACTCACAATAAGGAATAGACGTAAGATCGATGTTTCTCGTTTCGAGTCCTTCTTTCGTAGTTTTTTGTTCGCATAAAATCAAGCAAAATTCATTACAAATAAAAACGAGACAAAAAAAATGTATATTTTCTTTGATGCATTGAATTGCTGATTGCGTACCTTTGAAGTCAAAAGATTCAAGCGGGAAAAACAAGGCTCTTACAATTTTTTCACATGAATACGATTCAAAATTAAATCGTTCAGTTCACGTGCCGTTGACGGACAGTAGTCTCGCGCCAAATATATCAAAGAAGAAAGGGTAAAAAAGAATGTTTTTTTGTCAATATATATTTTTAAATACCAAAACAACATTAATCGACCAGCTACACAATGTTTTTTGTCCGTAACAAATTGAGAACGAGAAGGGGTTTTAGATTTTGTACTCCATGTGGTTATTATTGCTTTAATTCCCATTTTTCCTCTTTTTTTTCTTCTCTTGAAAAACCGAGCTCGATAGGTCACGGAGCTCGATAAGTCATCGAGCTCGATAACCATTTTCACTTTGTCCCCCCGTAAAGGTGAGAGGCCTCGAGCTCGGTATCGACAAATCGAGGCCGCTTGACATATCGAGCTCGATAAACTCGTATCGAGCTCGGTTGCCCAGAAAACTAAACTGATCTGATATATCAAGCTCGGTTTCCTGAGGTCAATTTGTTCATCGACCCTGGTTGACATATCAAGCTTGATAAACTTGTATCTCGTATCGAGCTCAGTTGCCCACATAACTAAACTGATCCACATTTTCATTGCCTGTCTTGAGGATATTCAGAAGGCCTCAGCAATTTCTGTTGACACGAAGACAAAACTCTTGAAACACCAGTCATTTATGAAGACAAAAGTTTCAAACCAAGTCGAGTGGCACTCACCATGTCTCGAACTCTGCATGGATCATGCATTTGGCTCATGCACTAAACCTCAGGACACTTGCTCATATGCTGTTGAAATTTACAAAGTGGCCAGTTCTGTGAACGCCTTGCTCCCTAACAGATACAGATACAGCTGAACAGAGTAAACTGGAAGAGAAGCTTGATAGTCTACTCCCAGTGCACAAGCGATATTTTGGTCACCTATTATACACAGAGTACTAGTCTGGTTACTACAACTTCCTTCTAAAGAATCTTCAACCCTGTGAATGTATAGTAATTGTTGGCTATAAAATGAAACTCGAACTTCGAATCCACTGTTGGGAAATCCAGCATGACTGGTAAAGCAAACGAGGCCTTGCACATCATGGGTTCCTGGTGGTGGCCCAAATTGGAAATCAGGACAGGAGAACAGAGGTCATTGACTTATGAAGTGAGGACACAAAACAGGATGCCTGGTTTAATTAAAGTGCAATGGATGTTGGTTTTTGCTGGTTGGAAAAGGATCTTACTGGTTTTCATGTGTACTTATTCTCTGGTGAGTGGTTTTAGTTTATCATGGTCATCACACTTTGAGTTGTGTTTGTGTTGTGGTTCAGCATTGTCCTTGGTTCAAATTTGTTTCTCTTTGTTTACCCATGTACGATACTCTTAAGTACGGAAAAACCAAAGTAACAGGACAATTGAACAAACAGTACAATAACCAAGGATTCATATTGAGCTGCAATATATGTTCAGTTTTCAGTTGAACCTCGGCCAGACTTAATTAAAGAAATCTACAAATGCAAGCACAGCTTTCACCTGTGCTTTTTAAAGGATGTCGATAGTTTCCTTGGTTTGTGATTGGATTTCTGTCCCATTGTTAACCCTTCAGGAGTGATGGAGTTTGTTGTAGGGAATTGCTTCAACTTCTGATTAGTAGATTGAATTGCCTCCATTTGCTTTGTTTTGCCAGAATAATGATTGGTTTCTTGATGGTCAAAAAAGTGGTATAATAAATAGATCATAGTTATCTTAACAGTTCATGCAGCTGTCTATGTATTAGTAAAATGCACCTGTGGAGTTCTTTTTCATTCAAATTTATATAATTTATAATTTGTAACCTTTTTAAATAATTATTAATTTGAAGACTAGGGTGAGAATGTGAGAATTTCAAATATAGTAAAAGTAATGAATCAATGAAACACTACATGTACCTGTTCACCTGAAATCAGATTGTTAAGACTGACCAAATTTTCTGCATGTTATTTTTTTCATAGAAAGAAAACATTTTGATTGCCCTAATTGTTTCGTTAAAGATCAATTTCAAAAGGAAAGGTCTAATTTTAATTTGGAAAGGACAAGAATTCGTCCTCGTGGTAGATTACTTCTCGCGATATTGTGAAATTGGAGTACTTCGAAAATCCACCTCCCAAGAAGTGATCAATCACCTAAAAGCGATTTTCGCGCGCCATAAAATTGCCAGAAACTGTGATCTCCGATAACGGACCACAGTATTCCTCAGCGGAATTCGCCAAATTTGCAGAAGACTGGGGATTCACACACATTACTAGCAGTCCAAAATACTCCCAAAGCAACGGAGAAGCCGAACGTATGGTGCAAACAACTAAAAACCTCCTTACAAAATCCGACGATCCATATGAAGCACTACTCGCTTACAGAGCTACCCCACTTGAAAACGGATTCAGCCCAGCCGAATTATGCATGGGAAGGCGACTACGCACCACCCTTCCAACTACCCCATCTAAACTAACACTGCAGTGGCCTGAGTTACCGAAATTGCATGGAAACGAAGCCAAGATTAAGACCGAGCAAACAAAAGATTACGACAGTCGACATGCAGTTAAAGAGCTAAGTCATCTGTCACACGATTTTTGCTTCGTTTTCGAAGATCCTCCAAAATGCTTGGGTTTCAGACTTCGACGTTTGTTTTCTGGAACTTTCCTGTCATGTATTTCCGATATGTCGGCGGCATTTGAGTTGTTTTGAAGAATTTGATCTTGATGTTTTGTGATTTCGGCGGATTTAACTTCTTCAATTACTTGATCTAGAGTTTAATTACTGGATCTAGGGTTAAATTGTCATTTGGCATCAATCGTCGCCTGAGATGAGAATCACGCAAACCAGCTATTATTTGAGTGTGCACCATTTGGTCACGAAGGTCCCCAAAAGAGCTGAGGTCGGCTCTTTTCTGAAGGTCTTCTGTAAAGGTGAGGACAGATTCTTTGTCTTGCTGAAAGCGTCTTACGAACTGTGTTCTCTCGAAGACTAAAGCGACTTTTCCTTTAAAATGATCCTTGAATTTTTGTTTGACATTTGCGTACTGGATATCTTCCCCTATCAGTTTGAAACTGTCATAAATGTCGGCGGCATTATTTCCCATTACATAAATAAGCGTATTGATGCGCACTTTATCTGACAGCCCATCACGTTCCTTAGCTGCTTCAAATAATTCATAGCGCTTTATCCAGTGGTCCCAATCGTCTGCTTTGGGATCAAACTTAGCCGAAGGAGGAATATTAAAATTGGCAGCGGCCATTTTCACGCTTCCACTTTGTGGGTTATCCGTCTGTATTGAGCCTGTTGAAGAACTCGTTTCCACTGCGGCTGTGGGCGGTGACGTGACTGGCGTGCTTGGCGTGCTTGGCGTGCTTGTTTCCTCGATTCTTTCTTCGTTTGGACCTTCAGCGTTGGAATTCATTCACGCGATGTGAAATACAGTGGCGAAACAAATTTCTTTTCCGCTATGACACCATGTGCGATTATCGGAGGCGAAACGAAGAGTGGAGGCCAAGTATATATTCAAGGTTATACAATTTAATGGTTAAAGGAGATTACATGAGCAAGGCCTAAGGTCAACTGAACTATTGTACAATCATATCAGGGTATATAAGTTGAGCGCGGTTACTAAGTAACAGGATTAAGGGCTAATCCCACAGTTACAGAGATCGTCAGTGACTTGTCATGCAGGTCTAAATCTTTTGTTGAGAAGGAGAAGTAATTCTTCGTATCATCAACGTAAGACTTGGGACGACTAGACTTAACTACTGACGGAAGATCATTCATATATAGACTAAATAGCATGGGAGCTAAAATGGACCCCTGAGGAACGCCGTGGGTGGCAGTCAGTGGGTCTGATAATGAAATTCCAACTCTGGTGGACTGCTGGCGATCTGTGAGATAGCTCTCAAACCATTTAAGCACCTCCCTTGATGTACCGAGGTGTTGTAGTTTGACCATCAGGTTGTGATGACATATACAGTCAAACACTTTACTAAAATCAATTAGTACCATGGCTGTGAACTTCTTTTGATCTGTGGCCTTAAAAATTTCACCTGTAACCAGCAAACTCAAGGATTCCGATTCCGAAGGGCCCTCATACACATGGGAAACTTTTCCCGATCATCTTTTTTGTCACAGAAGCAAAACCTGAGGACAGTGTGTGAGCAAGACCAATGTTGGTCATGAAATAGCTATCAGCTCCACGTTGTTAGCAGATGCATTTTTCTAGTCAAATAATGAAGTTTGGGGTAAACAACTCTGGTTTTAGGTAATGAAGAAGAATAATTTTCCAGCTACTAAGGTCTCCACTCGTGAGCTTCTTACAGCATAATATTCTTTGAGTTTTAATAATAGAATAGAACCCAAGTGTGGAGCTTTCAATCCTCCATCTTCAATGTCCCCAACGAGTACACAACGATTCACTTTGTCCTTACCTTTCCAGATAAAGTCAAATATAATTTTGTTTACTTCATTTACAAATTCCTTATCCATACAAATTAAGCTAGCACGGTATAAGAAAGTGAGGATAATAAATGTTTTGACCAGTTGAATTCTACCAATGATAGTAACATCCCTCCATTTCCAAATTCTTAACTTTTCCTTAATGGTTTATTTAAGTTCATCGAAATTAAGTTTGCGTGTGAGACGGCGATCATACGTGAAATATACCCCTAAAATCTTTACAGAATTCTTTATCTTTAGGTCTTTAAAAGGAGTATGATTAAGGTTGGGGGACGCAGGGAAAGAGTTTCCAAGTAACAATATTTCCGACTTATTATGGTTTAGAGACTGACTAGAGATGCCTAGAAGAGCTTCAGACAGTGTCCGGATATAAAGCTAGCATGCATTGCTAGTTCTCTGTCCAAGGGCCTGAATTAGGTGGACAGGAATACCATTGTGGGCTGCTACTTTGGCTGTTCCAATGCAGAAGCTGTTGCTGGAAAAAATGCCTTCAATCCCTGCAGTGAAGAAAATTTGCTGCAGCTAATCAGTCAGGATTGAGTGAGAAAGAGGTTGACCATTCGCAAGTAGGAACAAGAGACCAGGGATATTTCCTTGCAAGGAGAGGTAAGCCAGCAAAGGTGCCCTTCCCAAACCAATGTGGATGTGACAACTGTTACGGAAAGGATCCGTTTTTATTGCAATGTCTGCCACTGATAGAAGAATAACTGGAGAAAAGCTAGCTAAATTGGGGACTGTAAATTCTGCAGCGCAGAGAAAACCAAAATGACACAGCATGCAGGCTCCCCAAAATGCACAATGATAAAAAATATTGAGGTCCAAAGCCCGATGACCTATAAACTAAAGGAGGCTGTCGGTAATCGGAAGGCATCAAGGAGCCTGGGAACCTTGGGAACGCTTTACTCCTCTGAACACTCGTTGAAGGGTAGGGAAAACTTTGATCTATGTGCAAGAAGCGAATTCCAGATAAATATACTTTAATCAATGAATGCTGAATTGAATCTGCAAGACATGAAACAAACAAAAATAGCATCAACTGTTCTACAGGGCTTGGTGAGCCATTGGGGTGGAGCTTTCCAGCTTGACGGCAAAATTTGCTTATGCCTATGCTTACCGGGTGGAAAGAGCCAAACCCTGGCCCACGAAATGTAAAGAAGACAGCAGTGTTGCTTTAGAGCACTTGGTAGAAACACCAAGCGCCTGTCAAGGAATGCTTTTGACTCCGGCTCGGTCTAAACGATGTTGACAGTTAGCAAGTCCCCGAAATCAACATACTTGCCAGCAACAATGTGGCTTACTGTTTTCACCAGAATTGGTGAAAAGCCGGGGCCAAATACAAACGGCTGTTGAAGTAGCGGTCCCAAAAGCACGCTGGCGACCAAGGAGCTATCACTAAGTAATACTCGGACAGAGGCGCCCGCCAAAAATGGCACAGTAAAATTAGGCGAACCTTGAGGCAGTAAAGGTAAAGTTATCGCCTGTTGCTCTAGAAAAAAGTGCCTCCAGAAGCTAAAAAGCTCACCGTTTGCTGAGACAAGCTGAGCAATGAAGCAGGAACACCCCCAGAAGCTGATTGTAGTGCCATGCTAGCTGAATTGTCAGGCAAATTGCTCGAGGTCGAGCCAGGGCCTTTTACTGCCGCTAAGGAGGCCTTCACTGTATTGATGATTAGAGCGATTGAAGCTGGATTGTTGACACCAGCAGAAATAGCAGGGGCAGAAACTGTTGCCTTGGAAGCGGGCGACAAAGTGACAGACGACTTAGTGTGCAGAAGTATACCTGGTTGCAAAGTTTTGCTGTCAAAGCTAGCAGACAAACTATTGTTGTTTTGGACAGCAGTCATCATGCAAGCAGAGCAAGAAAACCGAACTACAAAATGGCACGCAAACAGCAAGCTAGTGCAAAACACTTTGCGAAGAACTGCAACTGCCTATAGAATTCACAAGGTGTTCCTGCTAGAGGCATTGGGCCAATATTGCTTCGAGGTTAACTTTGCCTAAATCACATTTAGCCACATTATTTAAAGGGACCACTGGATTTCAACATGAATTCTGTACAATATTGTTGGTCTAAAGTGAAAAGTGTAAACGTCTGTGTTATTATTAACTTTGTGTTATTAACAGTGGAAACTTTAAATTATGACTTGTGAGGCATGCATATCTCCTGAATATGCTTACATATCAATGTTTGCCGGTTGAAACAAAGGAGCCGCATACAATTGTGCAGGTTTCAGTAACTTTGAATAAATTATGATGAAGTGACTTTCTTTGTCACTAGTGTTGAAATGGTGGCGTGGTTTGCACTTTAAAAATAGCTAAAAGGAGTAATTTCCCCACTACTGCAAGAGCTTCAGTTGACAGATCAGTAAACTAGGAGCCGTAGGCAGGCTGTAGAGCAATAGAAAATACTATACACGAAAGCAAAGGTTCAGTGCAAAAAGTCATCTTTTTGTAGGGGGAAGAAGCCAAGCTTAATGACAATCAGACTCTATCCATTCAAAACTGTTTGTTTCGGAGTCTTTATTTGTAGACATTGAAATATTCTATTTATGTTTTCCAGTTTATTTTGTTACTTCAGACCGTATATACCTCAGATTTTAGTTGATCTTGTTTGGTGATAGAGATGCATGTCATCAACATTGAAACGACTTATAACCCTTGTTGGCTAATTTTTATTTATTAGCGTTAATTCAGTAATAATACCTCTGGAATTGTGTTGGAAGTAAAATACTAACCATCAGAGCAAATATTTTTGTCAGTTGTAAAACCAAATATTATTAATTTTACCTCATCTGCAGCTTTTTGTAGATCTCAATCAGGCTAGCACACAACCTGATTCGTGATCAATATTTTCAATAACAATAACAAAGGGGTCAATCCCAACGTTTGGCTCAATTGATTCTGGAGTAGCGCTGTATGTTGATAATTATGACGTGAATCCTCACGTTAAACCGCCTTAGAAACCTATAGAGCGTTTTCATCGTCATGGCGGCCATATTTGTGTACAAAACAATGAATTGGCAACCATGTTTGTGAACAAAAAAAATCCTGTGGGAATTGAAGTCTTTTCACATGTCAAAACTTCTTTTATTCCAAGCAAGTTGCAAAGCTGCTGACGTTACTGAAAACGATCTTTTTATTTTATGTGAGAAACTGAAGAATTATTTCTTTCAAATTTTGGACATAGCTAGAGTACCTAATTGTTCTGATGTGCACTCTAAGCTACAGAACCCCTGTTTTCCTTTTATTTTTTGTATACTTCCACCCTCAGAGATATAGTATAATACAGAGCGGGTAGGAGTGTTACCGGACTAGAACTTTTACATAGACAAAAGCAGCTGAAGAACATTTGTATACTGAGAGGTTATCCAGCTCAGGCTCATTCTCCCATTCCTTCTGTGAACATTTTGATAAAGCCCATTCACATATTTTCCTAATTGTCCCACACTTTATGACTCAAGCCAACTTTGTCCCAGGTGTTCTGCTGCTAGGAAGTTAAACGTATCTCCTTTTCTTGTACCTTACAAAGTACCTCAAGGCCATACTGTAGCCCCAAGGGAGAGAATGAATGGGTCCATTATTGTTAAGTTCTCGTGTCTAACAAAGGCCTTGGAGTGAGAGATAGTAGGTGAAATCCATATTCATGAAATCCTTTATAGTTCAGGCAGAATTTCACACATAAACATTTGTTCTTTATAATACAATTCCACTCACTCGCAAAATTTTCTTATCATAAAAGATAAAATACAAAAGTCCTTGTAATGAACTTTTGAAGATGGGCTGTTTTCCGTGGCATACTCTGTTTGAAGGAAGAACTTCATACTAAAGTGGATTGAATTACAGTCTCCTCGAGGTCAACATAATACATAGTTGTTTTTATGGTTGCCTGGGAAAAATCGTATTAAAATGGTGCGAATTAAGGAGTCTTTTATTTTAGAGACACTGAAGTTTGTCTCAT